CCCCAAAACCCCAAAACCCCAAAACCCCAAAACCCCAAAACCCCAAAGATTTTAAATAAATTGTGAAATTTACAAATTCAGTAATTACGTAACAACTTATCTAAGCTTCTGCCCTCTTTGCAGCTAGGGCTTCTTCAGAGATATCAAGTTCTCTGTAGATATCCTTTAAGTTATCTTCAGGCAGATGCTCAAAGACTTTATTGATATCAAAGTCTTCCTTGCACTTCTTAAACACCAACAGGATCCCTTTCCAAGTTAGGTTATCTTTCCAAGCCTTCTTGTGAGTAAACTTATACACAACCTCTAGCATTGACTGGGATACTGAGGTAGGGTCATTATGAGGTAGGGTTAGAGCCAATAGAATAGACCTCATTGCCCCAATATGCTTCTTCATGACAGCATCTATGTTATCTTCGCTTGCTTCATCGATGATCTCGTGAAGAACTTCTACTAAAATTTCTACTTCAATATAATTAATAACACTCTTCATCAGTTTGATGTAGCTTTTAGGAGCTTTTAGCAACAAATCTGTGATCATCTTGTGAGTATTCCTCTTTCCTGGACTTGGCCTACTATCTCCAGTTGTCTTGCTGTTCTCGAGCAGAGCACTTATCAAGATCGATAACTTCTCGCTCTCAGTACCTTCATTAGGAATTTTGTTGATAAATTTTTGGATATTAGGAATTTTCAGTGTTGTTTCGAAGGTCTTCTCAATGACATCTAAATATCCAGTGTTAAAAATAGAAGCTCTCAAGATTTCATGACTGATATCAAGAGTTAATCTAGCCTTAGACTTTAGGATGTCTACAAACTGAAGGATGCTTTCATGCTCCTCTTGGCCTGCATTTCTTAGTCCGAACTTGACTAACTCTAACATGGGGTTCTCCTCAATATTAATAGGATGTTTAAGACCAAGCTTGAAGTCTTCTTTGGTTGGTGGACCCATAAAGGGCTTGCTACTGCCTTCTTTAAACTTAGGGATCTGTATGATCTTATAAAACATAATTTTGATTAGCCAGTTCTTCGTTTCTTCCTCAAAGGTATTGTAATACTTAAAAATTAAGTCAAAATAGAAGAGTTTGCATTTATCTATGAGTTCTTGGGTGTCATGATCAGCCGACTCGCACTTGTTATCATCAGCAATGATTCTGTAGATTAATACCAGTAGAGATTTCTGGCAATCTGACTTTGTTCTGGATGGTTCAGAGATTTGCTTGATGAACAGGTTGTCCAAAGATTCGTGGAAGAAGTTTCTCATCATATCTCCCTTACCGAAGATAAATATACCTGCAGAATGAGCCTTGAGTAAAGCCTCAATGGCTTGGTTCTTCATGTGAGTCATACCTGAATTTATGGCTGCTTTTAGGAGAATTTTTACTCACTCTTTCTTGATTGAAACTTTATAGCAGCCTGAGAGGACGATCTTGGATCATACTTTAATAGCAGCAACATCACGATGGATCGTATTGAGAGCCACCTGATAGACATGTTCGAAAACGAACCAAGGATAAGCTGGCAATGTCATGATAAATGAAATCCAGCTATTTGACCTCATGAATAACTTCGACTCAACGATCACATTAAGGATATAAGGGAAAAGTATATCGAATTTTGGTCAATTCTGCACTACCTTCTTGTCATGCTCATAATGAATCCAAAACTTCATGACATCAAAGAAGGTGGCTCGATCTTTTTGCAAAATAAAGCGGATTAATTCTTCTTCTAATCTAGATACTTGGATATCAGCTGGAGAGTCTTCGTCTGGGAAATTATCCGCAGTTGTCTTATGTATAAGCCTGATCAAAAGCACGTACATTTTTATCTTAAGACTTCCACAAAGGCCGCAGATATGGTTGAGATAGTCAATCAGCAGACTACTTTTGATATCCTCGCTATTGGCATCAATCAAAGATTCTAACTCTAACTTGTCAAGGTTAGCCTTAATCTCCGGATCTGGTGTATGCTGGACCTCTTGGCCGTCTGCTTCGCCTGTCTTTGCTCTCTTATTGCGCATCTTTTCAAGCCATTCAGGGTCGACAGTGTATTTCTCTATTTTCTTATGCTTCCTCTTCCGCATTCTGGCTGCTTGGATTCTCATTGCTGATATTTCATCATTATCAATAATTAGAGCTTTATCATTTGACCTAAAATTGACACCTTCATCTAAATTATCAAAATATCGCGTTATACCATCTTCATTGGCTTCTGACTCATGGGCAGAGCTATCTTCGCTCATGTCATCTTCAGCTTGAGCTTGGTTTACCTTATGAGACTCTTCCTCTACATCATCATCGTCATCATCTAAAAGTAATTTCTGCATATCGTTGACTGGTTTAGTTTGTTTGGATGTCGCTTCATGTTCTTCTTCACTAAGAATGTCGTCTTTAGCAGTCTTCTCCAAAACTTCGACATGAGAGAGTATCTTCAAAAAGTCCACTGTTTGCTTTACCTTAGACTCCCTATTCTGAGGGATCGCTAAACCTTTACTTGCTAGCTTACCCACTATTGAGCTTGGATGACGTGGAGGAAGGATCTCGTTCTTCAGCCTGATCAAAAACTTTTTCGCATTTGAAGCTCCATTCACTAAAGATTTATCCACAATTTTCTTACATTGATTCATATTAGGAGGAATCCCTCCGTTTGGATTTCTCAGTGGCATTGCCGGGCCCTGATTTTCTCCCATATGAGGAAACATTCTCTCTGTTCTCATGCCAGGATCAAATCCTGGCCTCTCAAATCTCCGATCAGGAGGCATAGGGGGATGAAAATTATCTGTTGGCCCAGGATACCCCATCCTTCTATCAGGATTGTTCATAGGTTGAGGGAACATCTGTGGCCTTGGACCATCCCCCATCATAGGTTCGTCTCCTGGGAACCTAGGATGGTTCATGTGTCTTGGCATCATTGGCTGATGACCCATTTCCATCCTTTCTGGTGGTGGAAACCTACCATTCATAGGGATCCCTGGTGGTCTTTGTCCTGACATTTCTCAAGTAATAAAATTTATAAAATTCGATTTTTTTAGAGTGATCCGGGGTTTTGGGGTTTTGGGGTTTTGGGGTTTTGGGG